CAGTGACAGTAACTGTGGCTTCTGGAAGTCTGTGTGTGTATGTTATAGCAGGTTAGTGAGTCATCCTCGACTACAATCACGTCTTTGTGCGTCACTTTGCTAGAACAGCTTTTGACCCCATACACATAAAAACGAAATGTAATATTGTTTCCTGTTTGTTACTCATTTCCTGTCACTGCAAACATAAATCATCTATTGATACCCAACAAAGTTCAACAGGTCATCTGGACAGTTTTTTTTTGTTTTTTTTTGAGACATTTCATCCTTCATCCAAAGGACTTCATCAATCCGAGGAGCCACAACAAACTGAGTTCCACAAGCAGCAAACCCACACAGAGGACCAACCAGTTTGCTGATAAGATGGTTTCTGGGGCTCGCCCTCTCCCCCGTCGACTCCTCTGAGGCAGCCATAGCCAAAGTGGTTCAAAACATCAAAGTTCATGCTCAATAATCCTTTTGATTTCCTGTGGTTTTGTTGTTGTGGCTCCTCGGACTGATGAAGTCCTTTGGATGAAGGATGAAAAGTCTCCAAAATAGATAAATAAATAAACCATCCAGATGACCTCACTGAACTTTGTTGGCTTTTCTACCTGGATCATTGATCATGAACTTTTATCTTCTATTGATAATTTTACACTCTTTACAGATAAAAATGATAATTTTTACTGTAGTTCATTGTTGTTATTGTCTACTGTTTTGTTGTCTGTACTTTATATGTTCTGTCTGGAACAGGTCCCTCTTGTAAATGAGTCCCCGTGGTTCAATGAGGCTAGCCTGTATAAATAAAGGTTGAATAAAAAAAAAAAAAGAAAGAAATGTCTTGAATATCATTAAGAGTTTTCACATTCCTGTGTTCAGTCTCAGTAACAAACAAGACTGACTCTGATGATCCTCTCATCTGGGGTTCTGAGGGAATTCAATATAATTTTGCATTATTATTGGGGTCTTAGTCTCTTTGTATTGGCAGTGATTGTTATTTTCATTATAATTTATCCTACTCATCCCAGAGCATCCTTATTTTGTCATTCTGTGTTGATAGGTCTCTGATACTCTAATTGTTATGTATTTGCAAAGGATAAGTGCTTGATACTTGTGAAGAATATTAAAAACCTAGAAACCCTTGAAGAAATATCTATTGCAAAAAGAAAACAAACCCCTGCAATTTACACGTTATATTTTTCTTATCTTCTTATTTTTCTCTCCCTTCATGCAGCATCTGAGCCATGCGGTGGGTACTTGGATGCGAGCGATGCCGGCTACATCACCACACCCGGCTACCCGCTGGAGTATCCCCCCCACCAGAACTGCCGTTGGGTCATCACAGCCCCCGAGCCTTCGCAGCGCATCGTCCTCAACTTCAATCCGCACTTCGAAATAGAAAAGCTGGATTGCAGGTTAGGACACGATGGATGGATGGGAAAAAAAGTTGCATACGAAATTGAATTGAGTCTAACAAGTTTTATTTATTTATTTGTTTATTTATTTTCATGTCACATGTTTTTGCCTGAGAGTTTCTGGGTGCGTTCAGTAAACTTCGGCCCACTCTCCTTCTGTTTCTCTGGCTTTCACTTTGCCATAATAATCACTCTGGGACCTCCCTTGGTCCCCTGCCTCTAATTATCAACGTCTAATTACAACACATTTACAGTTCCAGCAATGGTTTTCACACTTTGGATGTCTTAAAACCGATTAGAGGATTTGGTGTTCCTCATTGTTTTTTGTCTGTTTGGCTTTGATTGCACAGCCAGGCTGACGGGGAAGCAGCATGAAAGACAAATTAAATTGAAAATGATTGTACTGCTGGATGAAGAATTTCCAGAGGGAACGATGTGCTAATTATAGTTTCAGAATTCCCAAGAATCTATAAGATATCTGTGGACACAAAACACAGAAACAAAGTACACAAGCAGTGCGTTTCAACCTGAGCTCATGTTTTAATTTATTCTTATACAGGTATTAATATTTACCCATACCCAAAATAGATAGTTGAATCCTTCCAGCTCAGATATACCAAAGTATTTCAAATATGTCTTTAATGAAAATTGAACATTGATAATTTTCTTGTCGTATGTAGTTATGAGCCGGTTTAAGATTCTGACATTTGAGCAACAAAACCAGTTTCACCCAAGTGAAACAAAAATAAATAAATAAATGCATCACATTACTTATTAGTTTTTCATTTAAAATAAAACTACAAATACTATGATTATGCTGCCTAAATAATATTACATATAGCCTGATAATGACTACTTTACAGGTGTAATGGTATAATATTACAAAATAAGACATGTATTATTAGTTATCTTACTTTAAATAAAATTAAAAAAAACTGAGAAAACAAGTGAATAATTGCAGCGATTTGGCAATTATTTTTACTTTGGATGCCCCGACAGGACCTGAGCTCAAACCTTCAGCCTCAGAATCATGAGACAGGTACTGACCACTGAGCCACTATAGCCACTAATAGTTTTTTTTTTCCTTCTTTCGGCTGCTCCCTTTGTCAGGGGCCACAGCGAACTGTCACATGAAGACTTGGCATTTATTTTTACGCCGGATGTCCTTCCTGACACAACCACCGAGCTACCACAGCCCTCTGTGTGGAGCAGAGAGCTGCTATCTTGGGTGCCCGGTGGAGCAGATTGGGGTTAAGGGCCTTGCTCAAGGGCCCAGAGTGGTGCAAATGAGGGTGGAAGCAGATGTGGATGCTTCACCTATCTCACCCACATTTTTGATGTTGTCGGTACCGGGAGTTGAACCAAAGACCAAGGTCCACCTTCTCTAACCTCTGCGTCACCACTCCCTCATAGCTACTAATAGTTATTTTATACTAAGTGTGTCCATTGTACACATTATTGCATCATCTTTGCTGTTCTGCTCTTTGTAAAGTGTTTAGAGCCTGACAAGTTGATGCTAGTTTTTAACTGACTGGGTAATTAGCATGCAGTGGGCTGTATAAAGTTCACGTGCTAACATGCTAACTTGTTTCTTGTTGCTAACTTTACTTTCAAAGCAGTGTTACCTTCAAAAGGGAATCTTATGTTCTACTGGTAGACAAGCCATGAATGACTGGGTGGGTTATTTGTCAGATAAAACATAGAGCCGACCAATTAATCTTTTTTTTTTTCAAGAGTGTAGACGTTTATCTCGCTAACAACATAACTGAATGCATGATTATGGCAACAGGTAAGAGAGAGGGAGAGCTGCTCGGCACTCCATGTGACCAGAGTGCCAAAACCCTTTCTTTGTCTTTGTCTCTTAATAAAAGTCATTCAAACCTTTATGATCAGTATGATGGAAATAGTTTTACGCTGGGACTTTCTAACTCCATGGTAGACCTGGAAACTGGTAATCGGCCTTGGCCTTGTAAAAAAACAACATGTTTTGCTATAAAAAATAGTAAACCAGGCTCCGCTCTTTGTCTCATAGGCCTTGTCTTTCTGCAGCTGCTCTAAGCATTTATGGCAGAGGGGATTTCTGCTGTTTGTGTTCGCATTTTCTTTGAGATTTCTTCCGTTTCCATCCCTCCTCCTCCCTTCTGACATTTTTACGTCCATTTAAAGTCCAGTAGTTTCCCAACAGGAACAAATGCAGTGACAGCAGTAAATAACATCTGGTTTATTTATCACAGTGCATGCATGAAGCATACTTTATAGAGATATAGCTCTCTGTCATGAGATGTTTGCACATCCTCTTACGGTTTAGCCTAATAATTCTATGAATTATATGCGTTAGGGTTAGGGTCAGAGGGTGTGAAGAAGTAGAAGCTGAAGGTGTGTGTTCATGATTGATAGTCCAAAACAGCAGCAGTGCAAAGCACACACACACTTAGAGAGACACCAGCGTGTTTGTCTCCGTCTTCAACTCTGGATGTTTCTTGCATTTGCTATGGTTATAAGAACATTAAGCATGTTTTGTTTTTCTCAGCTTTGAGAAACAGTAAACTGATGGTAATCTCCATTTAGAGGACAAAAAATAAATAAAAACCTCATCTAGCGGGGACAAAGAAGTCTACTATAGTTCTGAACAAAAACCTCTTTATGAACAGCCACAGGGTTTCATTCTGTCAAATAAAAAAACCCTCATGATCTGTTACCGTATGTCCCTCTTTCGTTTAATAAGTTATCAACATGCTAACAGTCGCAAAATAAATCTGTTGTGAATCTGTAGGATCTTTTAATTCTTAATCTAAATCAGTCCATCCAGGAAATTGCAACTGCAACTACTTATTCAAATTCATTCAGTTCCCCCAAAATTTTGTTCAGTCTTGCAACTGTGACCAATCACAAAAACTTTTCTTCTTTTTTGTTGATTTGACCAAACACATTTGCTTTCTGCCTGTTTTCACTTTCTGGAGTTTGCAAATGTCACCAAAAAAGCACATTTTCCATCAAATTATCCAGCTAAAATCTGTGCGAGTCGGCTTCCAGAAATATTATGTGAAAGTGGTGGAAAACTGTTTTATGACTTTGGTCGTAAACATAGACATGTAACATACAAATAATTTTACTTGACAGGCAGTTTTTTTTTTCCATTAAAACACGACTGAGTTTGTTTGATTTGTTTGTTAGATTTTTATCATTACATTTGGAATTTGACATCAATATGTCTGAAAATATCCTGTGCCAATAATCAGGAGTGATTCTAGAGTCTGACCTTTAGAGTTAGCCTCAAGTGTTGACAAAGGCTCTTGGCTTGAACAACACAGTGGCCATTGGCATCAGACGCGTTTGTAAAAGGGGAGTGGTGGTGGTGGGGGGGGGGCAGACACACTGGTGAGGGTGTCTGGAGGTCCTCCCCCAGAAAATTTTGAATAAAGTAGATGCCATTTCTTGCATTTTGGTGTGTTTTAACAGGTTTGGAAACATCTGCGTTTACCTACATAAGTAAATACTTGATTAAAGATCATGGCACAACAAGAAGTAGCGCTAAGCTAGCGGCATGCGATTCAGTCTATGATGCTACAAACGTAGCGCTCTGCTTTACATTACACAACCTAATAAATGCTTTGTACAAAATCGATTTAGCGTTAACTGATCATAACAAAGACTAAACTTATGCAACCAGAAGTTGCAACAAATATCTACAAATAAAGCACACAAAACAAAGCACAACTAGCCTTCCTGATGCATGCTCAATAATACAGGTAGAAACATCTAAAAAAGTTAAGTCTGGTCCTCTGGACATTCAAAAAAGCACAAGTAGCTTTAAGCATTAAACTTTAATTTAACCATTAAGCGTAAAATGTAATTATGACAAAAAAGGAGGATTTACTTGCAGTTACTTTTGAACAGTTGAACTTGTGGTACTTCCTGTTTGTAACTGTTGTATCCAGCTGCTCGTGAGGTCGGGCTACATCCATCTTTTACATTTTTCCAAACTTTGTTTAATTTTGGAAATTGAATAAACGGTATTCCACCCGCTAAACGCTCAGGGTAACGCTGTCTAAACTGCATGTTCTCCACTGACAACGTTCAACCATTTTTTCCTATGATTTTTCACAAAATCCCTCTGACTGCAAAACGTTCAAAACGCAAAATCCCGATAATATTGTCAGAGGGAAAAGGGGTGGAGCTTCTGCAGGTAAGGGGCGTTTCACTTTAGGATTAACTGAGGTCGCTCATTGACAAACCTGCTGGATTGATTGACAGGTGGTGTTGAGGATCTGACTCATTCAAAAAAAAAAAAAAAAAATCATAAATTTTCCTGGTTTGTTTGAAGTGTCATCATTTATTCCAAGTTTATTCTATAGTTTTGGTGAATCTAAGGTTTAAGAACTGAGTCTCTTTACAAAATCCTCATGATGATTTTTTTTTAAATTATTTTTCAGGGGTGTTGAGTAAAAATTTAGGTGTACTTGAGCACCCCCAAAAAGAGGCTAACATTGCCATTGTCAGTAATGTTGAGTTTTCTACATTTGTTTGTACTTGGAATGTTAAAGGAAAAGTCAAGCTTTAAGACAATGCGACTTTGATCACATCTGTCCTGAAAGTTAAACATTTTATGTCAAAATAATAAAGAGTCTGCAAAATCCTAAAGGGACTACGTTAGTGTGAGTCCAATATGGTATTAATAATCTTAATTTACAATACATCACATTTTGTCAGTCATTCTGCAGGTTGTAAAGCCAAACTCAGTGGACGATCCATCTACAGTGTATATATTTCACTAATAAGAAACAGAGGCAGGACTGAGAGGTGAAGGGAAATACAGACAAGCAAATGTGCTAACGTTGCCTAAACTATATCAGCAGATACAAAACATCTCAGCATGACCTCTTTTTCCCATTCACATGACTGTCACTGTAGGATTGTAGACCGGGACAATATAAGACGGGTTTCAGCTAAAAATGTACTGCGTCTGCATGGTGTGAGTATGATTCATGGAGCGTTTCTAA